TTTTATGACCCCGCCGTCGCCACCGTCACAGAGTTTTATGACCCATCCTGGAAGATATTATGGGTTTATGTTTGCAGATCTAACTTGGGGTTCATATACCCAAATTTTATCGGGTTCAGCCTCATCACCTATGGCCGCAGCACATACACCTCCTGTACAGTTTTCACACTCAGCGATGTCTGGGTTTTATGAGTTTTCCCAGTTTTCGCAGGCCGGTGGGATAGTCAGTCATATACCTCCAGGGTCCTTATTCTATGGAGGTGTTTCATCGTTAAAAGCTCCTTATCAACCTAATGTAGCTGCTCACGACGAAGATGACAATGATGATGGTGATGATGATGACAGCGAGGAGTCACAACCACTGATACGAAGAAATCCTCCTCAAGACCGACAGCTACCGCCCTACGGAACACATTCGCGTCGCAGGCATTGATAGATTTTATTTTTTATTATATTTTTATTTAGTTGTTTATTGGACTTTTTAATTGTAATTTTTTTATTATTTATCATTTAATACTTACTTTATTTCATTAATTGGTTGGATTTATTTTAATTTATTTTGTTAAATTTGTTGGATTTTTTGTTAATGTATTTTGGTTAATTTTATTTATTACCATTTAATATCAATTATTGTAATTTGTTTACCATTTACCATTTAATACTTATTGTAAGTTTGTTGTATTTAAAATTATATTCAAATACCAAATTGTTATTGTTATAATAAAATTTAATAATTATGTTCGATAACTTTCTTCAGTTTGTCACTTATTGTAAGATCGAATGACATTAACTTTAAATAAATGAAAATTAAAGTACAAGAATTCTTATTTGATAAACAACTACATCAGTTCCTCATCAATTGTTACTTGACTACAGCAGAAGTGGACATGTTTTTCTAGTGTGTCATGGGTTTCTACAATGCCCACATCTTCTGTCTTGTCTAGATCTTTCTCGAATATCCATATCACAATAAATTCGATTGGATTTTGGACGACCACGCTCCCTTAATAAAGTTGGATTTGGTATAATCGGAAGCTAATCCTGAACCTCATCAGGGTATTTGTCATTACTTATAGGGGGAACTCAAATTCGTATACCTTAAAAACTTCAGATAGTAGGTATATGAGATCCACAAAACAATTATAGTCTTGACGTGTATGCGAGAAAGCTGCTATCACATGAGAGCATGGATACTTCAGAGCTTGAAAAAACCCGCAGTCGCACTTTCTGTCTCGTAGATTTACTCTTAACGAAACAACTTCAATCCCTTGAAGAGGTCGCGGCAACTCTGTGACACGAAACATTTAATGTCTTCTAGAGAAGCTTGTTACAGACATTCCATTTGATGCATCAATATTTTTTTGTAGATCTGCAACTAATCTAGGGTGATAGACATGACTGCCTTGCATCCAGGTTTGAGCTTGTCCCCCGAGCTTCGCAAAAAGCGCCCTCAAACGAAAATATATAGTTTTTACCAAAGCCGCTACAGGTAATTGGCGTGCACACTTTAAGGTTGAATTGATTGCCTCAACCAAGTTGGTCATCATGTGGCCATATCGATATCCACCATCATATGCGTTTGTCCATATTTCTTTATCGATGAGGCTGATGTAATCGTATCCTTCATCGTTTTTCGCTCGCAAATCTTGAAGCATTGATTCAAACGTTTGAGGAAATAGTTCGTAACCTGATCAAAAAATATATAACTTACTAACTTGCTTTCTTTGCAAAATTAAAATGATCGAAAGAAAACAAACTATATCAGTTTCACTTACCCATACGCACAATTAATTGACGCTCATCATTCTTCTTGTACCTTCCATGATAGTTCGCAGCAATGTGTCGAAGACAATACCTATGTTGGACAAAGGGTAGTTGCCACATTAGACCCAAAGACTCCATTGCTGCTTTGATACCAGCTCCGCGATCTGAAATGACATAAAATTTTTCCCTCGTGATAACATGTGCACGTAAGTTTCGGAGGAAAAAAAAACCCAAGAATATGTATCTTCTCCTTCAACAAGAGAAAAAGCAACTGGAAGAATGTTGCAATTGCCATCTTGGACAACTGCCAATAATAATACTTGCTTGTATTTTCCATACAAGAAAGTCCCGTCGATTTGGACCACAGGCTTGCAATATTTGACAACATTAACGCACTGTGGGTAAGTCTAAAAAACCCGGTAGAATTGGCATCGATCGCGAAGAACTCGATCATTGTGGTATGCATAGGAGGTTTCAAAGTCCACAATTATCCCAGGATTCAACCTCTACACCAGCCTAAACCAGCCTGAAAGTTCGTTGTAAGATGCATCCCATTCGCCATGAAGTTTGACAATGACATTTTATTTTGCCAACCAAGCTTTTTTATAGGAGACAGTGTACCCATATTGCGATTGTATAGCTGAAATCAACACAACAACAGCTATATGAGAGATTTCTTTTACCATGGGCATGATGGCTTGGCATATCAATTCAGAGTCCAAGTTGGGATGATCTTGGTTGACCCCTCCAGAACAACATGTGTGAGGACCGTTGTATATTGTTAGTTCCCATTTGTTGGTTTTTCTCTTTCTCTTTGATACGCGAACCATACAATTGCATCCGTTTTTGCGTCGGGCACAGTAGCATACATATTTTTCTGTTGTGGAGCGGTCGACTCTCGATTGAACAGAATTACGAATATTGTAATTTTTATAGCTATCATCGCTTCTTCTTTGCTTGAAAACTCCATGCCTAAAGATAACTCACCGTTATTTATTGATGAGTAATATCCATAGTTACCGAGATGAGGCATATCCGCAATTTTTGGCCCATACATTTCACCATAATCAGCTTCATACATGTGTGCTGGAGGGTTAGCTTGTGCCACATTTGAGGGAACTTCATCTACATCATCATCGGAGTTGAATTGCGGTGATTCTGCGTGAATGAATAGTCCAGTCTCAGCACCATCCGCACCAGGCTCACGAAGTGGTTCTTCTGGTGGAGATGATGGTTCCTCCATTCTCTCCACATTTAGGTCGAATAACCTACTACTTGCATGTTTTCCCCTTGAACTAGAAGGCATATCGACATTGAGATCGAAAAAGCTCGTAGTGGAATGCCTCCCCCTGGAGCTTGAAGCCATTGTGTCAAATGGAAACTGCACAGATTGTTGCGTCGATGGCATCTCCATATTAAGGTCAAAGAAATTTGCAGATGAATGTCTTCCCCTTGAACTGGACGCGATGTTGCCATACGGATTGTTCGTGGACCCACCTAGGTACATATCGTAAGGAGTTACGAATGAATGTCTCCCAATTGAAGTTGATGTGACGGCACCATGATGCATATTTCCCATTATGGCGTTAAAGTCATTACACATTAGTGTAGTCGGGCTGTCAACTTGATCAACTTGTTCAGCCAGCCCATAGTGGGAGCTTAATGACTGACCTCGAACAACACGCACTTGAACAAACTTTGCATACATCTAATATCGGTGTCTGAATAATTACTTTGAGAATCAACCATCATTTCAACGTCATCATTGTTCGATAGTTCGAACGCTGTATAAGTTAATGACAACAATGATATTGGAATTATGTACTGCAACGACGACATTCTTCTACTACTTCCAACATGAACCTTCCTCGAAATCTTCGTTACCAGTTCCTCAAGAGTTATGTTTCTCTTGAATGATATTTTAACACGCTCATTTGATACGAAAACAACGTCGGTTTCATCTTCTCGAATTTCTCCATCATAATAAACAATAGCTGAAAGTCGCGCCATTCTTAGAGTTTAAAAGTGCTACAATATTATATCTGTAAAAAAAAACTGAAACAAACCTGATTAAATAAATAATATATGAACGAAAATATAACACAATAAAATTTGTACACATGAACATAAATAATTTAAATAATATAATTTTATATTATTACCTGCACCGCAAAAATATTTCGACGTATGCTCCCGCTTTCCAATTTTACAAACACATAAAAGTATAATATTTTTTCAAATAATCATAAAAAAATAATATAACAAAATTACCTTATAACGAAAGATCAAACGAACTTCTGAATCAAATATAAGAGGATTGTCGGGTGTTATTTACTGGTTGAAAGGATTGTTGGTGAGAGAGTTTACAGGGAGAGGACTATTTATAGCCGAGAGAGGATGCTTTAAAGTCGAGAAGTTCGGGTAAATTATGCAAGACGCGGTCCCTGCACCGCGCCTTGCATTATGCATGTCTGATAGTTGAGCATGTGATAATTGAAAAGCGCGGCCCCTGCACCGCGTTATAGACCTACGTGGAGTAAGGCGCGCCCCAGGGGCCGCGCTATAACTACGTGTATCTAAATCAGCATAAAGCGCGCTGCAGGGGCGCACCTTACCCCACGTGGCACCATATCAACGTAAAGCGTACTGCAGGGGGCGCGTCTTACTGCAAAGAATGTTAGATCGAAAAAAATAATCTAAAGGTGTCTGATAAAAAATATATAATATATAGGTGATATATCGGGAAAAACACCGTTATCCGCGGCCATCGGAGATACCTAAAATGCCGTGAATGGCATTGGATTCCATTTTAATAGGGAAAATGTTTGAAATAATGGTCTGAAATTATTAGTTTATCCAACTGTTTGAGGTCAGTATAGTAATCACATAAACGTTTTGGTATTGCTTTCCCTCGCAATTTACTTATTTTGAATTTTGATATTAAAAAATATAGTAGAAATTCCAAAAACCATTTTTCTAATTAAAAACGCGATGTCCGCCGTCTAATTGGACGAAATGACCTAAGCAAATAAAGACACGGTCTGACCCACAACTCTAATAACCACTACTAATCAGCCACGTGTATTCCAGTCTAACGCATCTCGTTTTCTTCGGTTTTTTTATTTATTTATTTATTTCTTCCAAAATTGAAACTGTTGTTGAAAATATTGGCGGGAGTTTAAGTGGATTTCAAATAAAGAGCAAACCCTAGCGGCCCCATCTCTTCCCCCTCTGTTCTCGCACTTTCTCTCACTAAAGGCACGCTTAGAATCTCTCTCTCATATAGAGCTTCCACTTTTATGAATTTTGGCCGTCTCGAATCCATCATTTTATTTTATTTTTTATTTTCTCACAGGGAAATATCTGCTAATTTGAGACCGGTGAGTCTACCTGCGTGCTTTGGTTTTATTAAATTTTTCTTTCAGTTTTTAGGATTTCCCCCCTTTTGGATGAAGTTCTTACTGTTCTTTTTCGTTTGACTGATTTGTTTTCAGTTTCGGTATTGCAGCGGAGATAAATCGAGGACGATTCTGATTTAATCGTGTGAGTTCTGTTTATTTAGCATTTTAATGGTTTTTTCCTGATGCTTTCTAAGCCTTATTTTTGCATCTATGACTTTAAACTGTCGGTGGTTTCTGAGGTGAGGCAAAAAATCTAACTTCTACTATAGTATGAATGTCGAGTTTTGATTTTCTTGATTTTGAATGTCAGGTTTTACAATTTCATTTGATGTTTGCTTTTAAGGTGTAGTTACTCCAAAACTTTGAGATAAATTAGGGAAAAGGGTATAATCCAGTTGAGGGACAGCTTAGGATATAAGGAAGAGCAGAAGAGTTACAGAAAGGATGGGAAAGAAGTCTCCGGATGATAGGGAAATGAAAACAGCAAAACAGAACAAGAGATTGAAGAGTTCAAGCGGTAAGTATCTGAGACCAGGTACCATTGCTCATCTCCGGTACAATAAAGCTTCAGCCGCCAAGCTGTGTACTGATCTTGGGAAGGAAAGGGTTGCTGTATTAGATACCAAGAAACTGGCTGATGGTAATCTTTTGATGGAAAATAAGGTTATTGAGAAAAGTCCTTTGATGTCATCGCCTGTGGTTTTCCATAAGCAGAATAGTATGGCGTGGACACCAAAGATACCTCGGCCTGAAGTCTTTGAGTCTGAGTCAAGGCTTGAGTCTCTTCATATGGATTTACTGGTATTATTTGCACCCTTTGTCATTTTATTTGCATGACATGGCCTGAAAAAGCTTTACTGTTGTTTCATTCTGTAGAGTGGTGATTTAGATGCTGAAGAATTAATCAGGTTGTTTTTTATTCATTTTGGTCGTGTGTATGATTTTTATTGGTGTGTGGCATACAAGATAGGCATCCTTAACAAATCATGTTGCATGTTTATAAGTTTTTGCTGGTTGTGCGCTTCTTCAGAACCATATATATTACTTGCACCTTTGAGCATTTTAAACTTGAAAATGAATGTGGTAAAATAAGAATGCACTGTCCATTTCTTTACCTTCAAGTGAGTACTGTAATCATTGTTAGAATGCATCTGATCATAAGTGTAATTTAACAGAATTCCTTTACACTTAAAAAATCCCTGTTTAATCTTTAATCTACCTTTGTAGATTTTTTCGATCATATTTTGTGTCATGTGCTTTGAGAACCTATCCTCGTTTATATGATCAATGACATTCTATGTTTGACATATCAATGAGTTTCATCAACATTTTCTCATGTTCTTTAGTGGCTGTTATCAATTTCTCAAACATATTGTTTCGTTATATGTATAATTGAAGTTAATCTCCACGTTTGTCATTATGCTGTTACACTCATTATTCATGGATGACTGATATGATATCTGTAAAGACACCATGGATATATGTTCATATAGTTTCTGCACGAAGAAACACTGAGCCTACACCACTCTATACGTGGCAAGATTGAATAAGCTTGCTTTCAATTTTATGGAGATCCAGCCTTTCCCCTTTGAACTGATTCCTTTTTTTTTTTTGATATTATTTAGGTTAAAATACTTTGTCACTTGCACCATGACCAACTGAGGGCAGTTTTTCATGTTTCTCAAAGGATAAGAAAAGCTGTAAGTATCTCTCTCCCTTGTCTGTTTTAGTTTATGAATCTTATTATATAACCATTTATGCTTGTTGCGTTCAGGTTTGCCTGGCAAGACAATTTCACTTAAATTACACAACACCTGATCGTTCAAGGCAAGAGATGCTGAGCATAATGACACCAAGGCCGACAGAACACTGGCCCTTTACGAGGTAAGTGTCTGAAGGTTTGAGATCACAACAAGGACTGATTCTACAAAAATTGGAACTAAAATTTGCCATTTTGTACAATGTTTTGGATGTTGTTTCCAGCAAGGGTGAAGGGAAAGGTATTCTGATCAAAAGTCCACACACTCCAAAAGCTCCAAGACACGGTCCACGACCACCATCTCGTGTTAAAGTCACCGAGCTGAGGCAAATTGCTGCAGTACTCTTTCAGGATTCTGGATTCCCTACCAGATGCATGGTACCATCTGTTCTCCCAAAGCCATTATGCAAATCTTTGGCTTCAAACCGAGTACTATTTTACGAGGATGAGTTATGCCAGGCCGTTGCTCAGAATAAGCTTCGTTGATTTCTTCCCGGTGTTTATATCATAAGCTGGATTCCACTGTATATGGTTATATTTTGCGTTACTCTATAGGAGATCTTAGTCAGATTCAGAGAGTATGAGGTATGCGATTTTGTAGCTTTTCTTGGGGAGTATATTAGGTTATATGATGTTTCATATGAATCTTATCTGCATTAAGTGTTTGAGGATGTAGACGATGTGTGGATTTTCACAACGATAGGTCATGAACTGATTGCTTGTATATCTTCTTTTATATATGCTTGGAAGTTGAAAGTATCATTAGCTGTGTTTTCGTATTTTGCTGGTTGTCTACAGTCCTCCAATTCTGAATTTAAACATGTCTGAATCTGAATGGAAGTATATTTAAAATACATCATGATCAATTTACAAATATATGCATATTCAATCTCGTAAATAATTTTGATATGATGTGTTGAAAAAGTAGATAGTCATGTTAGATTCAAGTTGTTTATGCAGTAGGTATGCATGTATTTATAAGCTTTGTTCCTGGCAAATTGAATGCAGTTTTTAGATAATCTATTTCACCGGAGAGAGCCTGGTGTTGAATGAAAAATTATTAGATGATTCACGTCATCGATGATCTTAACTAATAAAATACATCCATTTCATTTTTTTTCAAAGTGAATATTTACTTCTTTCTTACATGTAAATAAGAAATGAGTAGCTATTTAGAAGTTATTGTGAAATGGATGAATTTTATTGGTTAAGACTATAATTGATGTGGTAAGTCGGGTCCTTCAAATAATTTCTCGCGTTGAAGGCTGATGCTCATTGGTTTCCAGCCTAGTAGGTATTTCTGTCGATGTCAGTTTTAATTCCTTCAACCTTTCCGTACAAAAAATTTAACCAAAACCCAAGTTTTTGGAGTAAGAAGAGACCTCCAAAAAGTCTTCCTCTGCCAATTATAAACTCCGAATTGTTTTTTTTTTCTTGGTTCAATTCCCATCATCCTTAGCACATTCATGTGACCTATCGTAACTAAACTAAATCAAACGATCATATTCATTCAACGTGTAAATTCATAAGTAGCTACCAAGACTCTAAATTTGACATCGAAAGCAAGAGTTACCATAAAATCCCTTATCGCAGACTAAGAAAAGGGACAGTTTTTGGAGATTTCATTTTCTATCCCATTTTGAGAGTTTTTGAAGATTTCATTTTGTTTCTCATTTTTCTACTATTGACTATTGGTAACACTATCATAAACCATTAATTATGATTTTCCTTCCAAATCAAAATGAACAAATTATTTATAACCACTACAACTTAAATATTAAAATATTTTAATTTTTTTTAAAATAATTCAATTATTATAATTTATCAATTTTTCATCTATACACATACAATTATACTAACTTTATAAGTAAAATATAATAAAGTTAGTAAGCATACTTTTTTTTGGTATAACCTCTTTTTTTATCTATTGTTTGATTAATTTGAATTGAGTACTGTAGAAGCAAGAATGATCCTCCCAACCCAATCGACTCCATGCACTACCGTCAAGATTCGAATATCATATTGAATGATGATGGGAAGGCTTGAGGATACCTGACCCGATCATTATTACGGTGATACATGATGATAGGGAAGCTTGAAGTAAGCTATCATGATTATTGTTATTAATGGTTCATTATGTCGAGGTAAGTGCATTGCATGTATTATGATGCTATTATTGTCCATGTAGATTAGTTAGAGGTCGTTGGTACAATGACATGCCCAAGGTCGAGCAGTTGTGCCATGGTCTCTCAAGATCGTTCACCTTAGCTAAGCAACTCTGTGACGGTGTTAACACTTTGGTGCATTTAGACCTATGGGTTCATAACACTTCAGTGCATTTGGACACTCAAGTTCGTCTACCATATCGATGCGATTCTGTATCAGTATAACACTTTGGTCTACGTTACCTAGATATACCCCTATTAGAGTTTACTATGGGCACCCTTTATAATATTTTATGACAAAATGTCAATATTAATGTTCTAACGCATGATATACATGTGTTTGCTACTGATGATTATATGCATGACCTTTTATCCATGTTGATGATAATATTAAATATGTTACAATTGTCGAATAAATAGTTAACGATGAGACTATTATGATGAAAACCGCTTTAATGAATTAGAGGAATATCATAGACTGAATAATTACTGTGCCAACTTAGAGTTACCGAAACCACAAATATGATAGAAAGTGTAAGGTAATCTGATGAGAAAAGACATGATATACTTTAGACCTTGGGTAAGTATATTGAACCCGAGTGCGAATGATAAGACTATGGTAATCTTTAAAAAAGGGCTTAAGTTCATAATTGGATAGCATGATTATTTTTATGAGACTCATGTAATATAGCAAGATCGATGTGTACTCATTAGGATTAATAGCTCACACTTTTAATTATTACCTCTACATGTTCATATTTCCAAGATCAAGATGGGACAATGATATCACCAGAAGAGTCTTGGTGGGAGTACTAGAGTACAACGATGAGGACTCGAATGGGCATGTAGAAATGATGATTTTACCTAACTCTGTTGTAAATTATTTGAAAGATCATTTTAGTCTATTTTTTTTAGAAATATTTTAATCTTTATTTTTTTATTTTTTGATCAAAATGGTCTCTATTAGATAAAAATTATTAATTAACTAATATTTAATACATCTTGTTGACGTGATATTTTCATGTGATAAATTGATGACGTATCACATGCTACGTCACCTTAGGTGATATGACACATCATAATCTTAGATAAAATGTTCATTATGATAAATGTTGAGTGACTAATTTTGACATTATGCCATTTTAATACAAGGAAAAATATCAAACTAATAAATAATATTTTATCATAGAATATTTTAATATTCATATTTTTAAATAATTTATATAAAATGTTGATAAAAATGAAATAGAGATTATATTATTTTTAATATTAAATATTAAACATTTCAAATCTAGATTTTGAATTTAAATTTTATATTAAAATTTTAAATTAATACACTATATATTCACGTGTCATTGTAATTAGTGATATATATAATATTATTCAACAATGAAATTAAGAGAACCTAATGGAGTTTACCGTAGAATTAAGAATGAGTTCGTCGCTTGTTCAGCAGAAGATTTGTCAACACATCTTGTCACGTTGAAATAAAAGAGGTAGGTTGGGAAAATATTACCAAATTGCAAGCATTCCATACCTTTGACCCCATCTTACACCTCCCGTTATTGTTTATTAGTATGGTAATCTACGGATGAAAAATTCCACGAAGCACTTATTTCTTTGTGAATGGTTAACAGATTAATGAAATAAATTCATTATTAGGTCATTACTACTTACCAATAGGTATTAATTGTCTTTTATTTTATAATTTGAATTTTGTTTGATCAATTATTTATTTTATTAATTGTGTCAAAATTTTTTATAGTATTAATATATGTGTGTCTATCTACCAAAAAATATTTTTGAATATGCTATCGGTTATGTTCCTATAGGCAAATGAACTCTCCTTTCAAGTGTTTCAGTGTGGAGACATAGGAAGATGTGGTGTGATACAACACTCCCCATCTTCCAATCTGCTGTTTCTCTAACAAGAACAGAGTGTCGAACATTGGAAGAGTATGTGTCATACCGTAATAGCTACCATTAAAACGACGTACCGAAACACACAACAATTAAATTTGTTATTATTATATAAATATTAAAAATTATTGGATTTTTTAAAATTAATCATTAATTTAAAATTTAGTTTTATTTTTAATAGAATTATAATTAAATAATAATTTTTTAATAAAAAATAATAATTAATTTAAGTCAGTTAATTTGTTTAGAATTGGGATTTGTAAATTATTTAAGTTAATAATGGCCATAAATAATAGTCACCGCTGGAGACATTAACTCGCCGGAAAACACGTCGAAAAAATGTTGAAAAATATTATATTACAAATCCAACGTGATTGTTTGTCGTCGCCCGAATTGCCATCGCCCAACAGTCACCTAGCAGTCGTAAAGTAGTCGGCGCCCAGGAAAAGCTATTGCAGGGTGTTCTACACGATCATCCGTTAAATTATTCTGTTCTTCAGGGTCATGAGCCATTTGTTTCGCCTCGAGCAGTTGCATCGCTTTATATTCGTAATGGCAATCACGCATCTAGCTTACAGTCGCTTAACGATGTTACTTGCAATTGTTAAGGTTGGTCTTTTGATTGGTATACAGTAAGGAAAAAGCACTAACAGTTCTATGTTGCTACTATTTGCTCACTTTTCGATAACTATTTCGGTAGATTCATTGATGGGGGGCATGGGAGGAGGAAGCTCATATGGACCAACATGGATTTTAACTGGTAAGTTAAACTTCAAACAATTTGATGCCTCAAGACATGCGGTTATTTGTGATCAAAGTCATGCAAAAGACATTTCGAATAACTTTCAATACATTACTACGATGATTATAGCTTATTTGCTGCAGGACAAGCTAGAGAAGCGCTAATGCGAAGACAAGCGGCTTTGGTTGTACACCACAAAGCGAACCCCTTAGCGACGAATAGAGTTGTGATCTGGTTGGTAGGTACAGAACATTTCTTCTTGCTGCGTTTACTGCAAGAGTTGACTCATAGATTTGTGATGCATTTATATTTTCGTTGGACTTACAGTCATAGTCTTTGTTCGTTGAAGTTTTCTCCTGAATGTTTATGCTTTTGTGTTTTGAATTCATGGCAGAATCACAACCTATCGCCAAAGCACGATTTTCACAACTATATGGTTCGTTCTATGGAGGAAGAATTTCAAATGATTGCTCTTACAGCTTTTCCTGGGCGGCCGACTACTGCATAACTGTTGGGCGATGGCAATCCTGGCGACGACAAACGGTCGCGTTGGATTTGTAATATAATATTATCAACGATTTTTTGTGTTTTCCTGATGTTAAGGTCTCCGGTGGTGACTATTGTTTATGGTCATTCTTACTTAATAATTTACAAATTTCAATTCTAAACAAACTAATTTACTTAAATTAATTATTATTTTTGATTAAAAATCATTATTTAATTATAATTCTATTAAAAGTAAAATTAAATTTTAATTTTAAAAAAATCCAATACTTTTTAACATTTACATAATAAAAACAAATTTGATTGTGTTATGTTTCAGTACGTCGTTCTAGTATTACGTTGTTGTATGAGACATACGTTGTAGAATTTTCCATCGTACATTATTGTATAGTCGAATTGAATGAAACAATTACTAACAAAGGCTTTTGAATAAAAAATACTAATATACAATTGAAATGATATAATGCTGTTTATTAATTATGCACGTGATTGATGTTTTGTATTCATGATTCTTTGAATTACAATAGGGGAAAAAAAAAAGAAATTGCTTCTCTGTTTTGTTTGTTGTCAGAAAAATTCTTTGAAGTGCATTTGGATAATGGCAGACGTAAGGATCTTGTAAGCCTTCTCGGAGGGATGGTAACCATCCCAGAAAACGTATTTGGAGGCATCTGGGCATGAGAGAGGGATGCTTGTAGGGTTGCAGAATACACTCGCTTCTATCAGTCCGGTGCCACAACATCCCACTGTTGCCACCTCAAAACCTGTATCAAAATGGCCGATAAGTTGAATCTAAGGTCGCTCCAATCATCAATTTATGCATGAGAAAGGTTTACCATATTTTCCAGGGTTTTCAATGAGCGAAAGCAATGGATAGTAGATGTCAAGGAAGATAAGATTCGTGCCCGGCAAAGTGAACACAGTCTTCAGGTTGTCTATCACGCCGGAGAGCTTGGCGTTGTAGGCAGATGCCAATTGGTTTTCTGCCTCGTAGCAATCTCTGTTTTTTCCACCGCCTAAAGTTCTCTGAGACGGCACACACCCGATCGGCGGCAACCCCAACAACCCTATTCTTCTTGCTCCTAATCCATACAAGTCCTGCAACAAATATTCCCGTGGTTGGTTTCGTTTTTATGGACTAAAACTTCATGCTTGATTCTTATATCACCTGCAAGAACTGGGAAGCATAGCCGGCCACGAAATCTGAATATGCATTTATGTCATAATGGGCTCGCCTGAATGGAAGGGTAAAGTAAGTATTGGAAACATCGTTGCTGCCGGTGCACACTATATATATGGCTTTTGAAACTATAGTTGCGGTTCTCTCTTCTCCTACTGCTGCTTCTATCTTCTTTATGCATTCCTTGAACAGTTCTAACTGTCCCGACATCGATATAACATTCTGCCATAACATGTCCGACAGACAGATGAGATTAATGGCACTGCAATAAATTCACAAAAGCAACATATGTATGTTATGTATGTATGTACCGCTACTTTTGCTGTCTGAGGATCATATCCTGCTGCCCCTGAGGCAAAACTGACACCAGTGAGGAGATCTTGGAGCTGTACTTTGGGATCAAGATAAGCAGGCACCAGATCCTTAACACCGAATTCTTCAGCTGCAAATGATTTGGATCCAAAGTCAGTGACAATGTATACAAGGGGGATATGAAGACAAGTTCTGGCTTATTGGCTACACACTACCTATAAGGTCGGAAGGGACTTTGCCATTCGAAAACCGTCCAGTCGGCCCGCCTTTGAAATCCCTCCCGTAAGGGAGGAAATTGCCTTTAGCTATCGTGGGGAGATTGTTGTTGTTCCCCGGGTCAACTATCGAATCCCCGAACACGAAAACTGCAGGAATGGTCTCGTTGTTAGGCAGGACCAAGGCAGCTTCATTGTGATAATGGAAATACAACACCACAAAAGCAAGGAAGACGATGGTCCTACTAAAGCAAGAAGGAAACGAAAAGGGTGCTTGAAATTGAGAGAGGAACGTTGTCATTTCCTGGTTTTCAATTTATATTTTCCTTATGGTACATAGTCCATATTTATGAATTTATATAGGCATGAAAAAGGGAAGACGCGGTGTTTTAATGTATTTGTCAATGTGGCAGCCAATTCAGAGCTTGCTTATACATTTTCTGGTAGTTGCAAACAATAATGCAGCATCATTAGTGTCAAAATATCAGCTGGAAATAAAACTCAAAGGAAATATATGTACATTCCCCCCCCTTGTCTGCATCCACCTTCAAGTATTGAAGCTTTATTCTCTTTGCAAAAACATATTTTCTGAAAAAAAAATGCCAAATTGGTATCAGACATTATTTGTAAACAATACCTTGAATTCAGTGATTTCCCTATGTAATTCATTCAAAACAGCTGTTGAGTTTAAACTGGGTGGCTTGTGATGAAGAACAGGGGACATACTGGTATTAGTCAGTGTCTAAGCATTATATTAATTTGGAAACATCAACCAATAGTAATAACATTAAATTCAACCCCCAACCAATCTCAAACAATGTGTTTAGATGTTGACTTGTTGCCTGCTTCAAATTCGTTGCTGGCTCGTCTTGTTCACCTCAAATATGCTCAACTAGTGGGATATTGTAACTGGAATTAATGCAATCAGTGAATGCTCATAAATACATAATTAGACCACTCAACTAACATTCCAAAACGAATTTTTGATCTAGAGATGCCAACTCCTACACATGGTAATGCAAAAGGTAATAAATTCACCTTCCCAATATATTAGAAAGAAAATATTTTGAGATTATGATAGGAAGAGAGAAGAGGGGAAACGGCGTGTAGCGAAGGAAGGTGTCTATGATTATGTTGATATACAGAATGATTTTGAACAAATTTATACTCAACACATTAAATACTAAGCTCTTTTTTCTTCTTCTCTCGTTTGAATGAATTGCTTGTACTTGAAAAGTTTTCAGAACCATTTTTTTTGGATATTGGATTGAGTTAAAAGATTTTAAGTTATTTGAATTAGCAAGTCATACTTTATCTTTCAAATTTTATTTAGGATATATATATATAATTCTTCATATTCTTTTCCGAATCACAATGTTATTTAATAAATCAAATATCATATAAAATTATAAAATATATTTATAATTTTATTTTTTAAAGAACGTATTTTAGAGATAAAATATTGATGAGAGTATAAAATAGACAAAAAAAAAATTGAGGGAAAGAAATATTTTGTAAAAAATTATAGTGAAAAATTAAATGAAATACAAATTTGAAGAAATAAATTACTCCAAAAAAAATTAAATTTATTAATTAAAATTAGAATTGAAGTTATATAGATATTTTATAATGATCAAGGAGCTGTGACTAGACTTTGATTTTTTTTTTTTGAATTAGTGAAATTGAGGAGTCTGAGTCAAAATGATTTTTCTCAGCCCTAATTTCATCTTTTCAAACTTTAGTTATCCTACTTGAATTCTGGGCTTGCTGGTCTGCACCTTTGGAACTATAGTAATTAGTAAATCTGAATCTCAGTCAGGAATGGCCCTTATACTGAAACTGGGCTGTACATTATTGGACTAGGCAGGTGTTAAGCACCACGCCCAGTCTGCTCTAAAAGAAAACAGTCCCATATATATAATAAAAGGGCGGATCTAAAGGCAACCGAAGTAACCAGAAGATCCCAGGCTGATCTTCTATTAAAGTAAATATCAATCATAAGCGGTTAACCCCCAGATTCCATTAAAACCTGAAGAAAACGATATCTGAGCTTGTTTTTTTTACTACTAGGTACACATTAAGCATGCATTTTGCAACTTTTGTAAGAACTCTTTAGTTTCCTCGTTTTCATAGCTTCAATGGGTTTCCTGGATTCTGTCTTTGAACTCTTTGACTGTGACTTGCCCAGACATAAAAAGATTAAAAAGAAACCATTACAGGTATTCAGTTCACCTTTCAAGCTTCGATCCCTTTTCTTTCACCTTCTTTTTTTTTTAAGTGTTTGATTTAATATTTTGTTGTTGCAGACGGTGGAGATAAAAGTGAAGATGGATTGCGAGGGATGCGAGAGGAGGGTGAAGAATCGGTGGAGGGCATGAAAGGGGTGACCGATGTGGAAGTGGACCCCAAGCAAAGCAAGCTCACGGTGGTCGGCTACGTGGATCCCGACAAGATTCTGGAGCGGGTCCGGCATCGGACGGGGAAGAAAGTCGAGTTGTGGCCTTACGTGCCTTATGATGTGGTGGCTCACCCTTATGCACCGGGGGCTTACGACAAGAAGGCGCCGCCTGGTTACGTCCGGAATGTGGTCCAAGATCCGGAAGCTGGTCAGCTCGCCAGGGCCACCTCGTTTGAAGTCAAGTATACCACTGCCTTTAGTGATGAGAACCCGAGTGCTTGTGTAATCATGTGAAAAATCATGAACCTCCTCCATCTCCATATTATCAGTGTTTGAAAATTATATGAAATGTATGGATTTTCTTATATGAAATATTGGATTTAATTATGGGTCTAGTCGCTGTAGTTTTGTAGTATTAATATTAAGTTAGTTTATTTATTAAATTTTAATTGAAAATATTTGATGACACTTTTATGTAGTTTTGTAGTATGGTCAAATAATAATTAAAAATCACGTTATTGTTTTAATGAAGAGTAATATTAATAGCGCTGTTAATTACTTACTACTATCATTATTGTAAGTAGGAGGGTAAATAAACCACATTTGAATAAATAAATTTATTTTTTATTTTTAAAGGTGTTTATATTCAATGTGTCTATTTATTTATTTATTTGTTAAGGTGTTTATATTCAGTTTTATTTAATGTTTGTAAATATATTCGTTTAACGTTTATAAACATACTATTTATATGATTATTTGTTAATTTGTTGTTTTGATGTACGTCAACGTGTTAGTTTTATATGTTAACCAACCAAACAAAAAAATTAAGTTAAATAAAAACAATTAAATGATAAAATTATGCCACCAGTCCTTTAATTCTTTAGACTTCACAGTTTAAATTCTAAAGTTGATTATGTATTCAATTTAGCTACTACCTTAATCAATATTTAAAATTAAAAAAAATGAAAATGAAGTAAACAATTCGATAAAAAAAAGTTTATAAACAAGCTTTTCATGAATATAAATGAAAAGAACAAACCTTTGTTTACATTCTTTACTTATTCAATGAACATAAAAATTTATTCATACTCGCTTATTCAACTTAATGAACGAATATAAATAAACATTATACGAATGATTCATAAATAATTTATCGAACACTATATTCATTTACACATCTAATTAGAAAATAAAATTCTATAAAAGAATTAAATCCCAAATTTTAATACAATAAAAGTACTAAATCCTAGCTTATACCAAAATATTATGATGGGTACATTTATGTTAGAAATAGCATGCAATTGGGTAGGTTCTCTTCGTTTCCAAACAACCCTTAAATCCATTTTCATAAAACGCAGCCGTTTCACTAGTAATTCTTCGAAAGAAAGGGTCAAATCCGCTATAAACACCCGCTCTTCGCCTATCAGTAGATATTTTGGATCCTTAGCCTCTCTCCCTCTCTGCGTCTGGATCTAAATAGCGTCTCTTCTCTTCGAACCCTAATCTGAGATCCCCCGTCTTTTAATTAGCTTTTATTTTAATAAAAGGAATTCGTTTTTGATCGGGACAAGCCGAGGGTTTTCCTGAGAGCACCCAAGATTTTAAGGCTACAATTTTTTCTTAACTCGATCTCGATCGAGGGTTTCGTTTTGCCTTTTCGATTTCGTATTGTTTTGTTGTTGGTGAATCAACAGATGTCGCGGTGTTTTCCGTTTCCTCCACCGGGATACGTAAAGAACGGAATCCGCGATGAGGCACTGATTGAATCGATCAAGGTTTGTTGAGCAAATCCCCAATAGGCTAAACAGCTTTCTGGGGTTTTAACCCTCTTTGCTCGACTGGTATAATCGTTTTCCTCGATAGCTTTGCTTTTTTCTTTATATCGATAGGACGAGAAAAATATATGTTGCGTTAGAGGGCTGAACGTTATGAAGTGTCTTAAATCCTAATTAAGACGTGTTACTATATTTTACGGCTATAAAGGCTGAGAAAAGATTGGGAAGAGGATCAGCAATTTATTATGTAATCGTTTCCTTACCGACCTGGCCATGTTCTCTTTTTCTGGATTTCTTGTTAAATAAATGGAGGATTTTCTTGTAGTAAGTTAAGCTTTAACTATGAGAAATTGAGCCCAAATCATTCTAGAAGTGAAATGATGCTGATTGTTTATCGTTTCACTTGTATATGAATGGCAGAGCGGCATCCATTCTTACTAGTTCAGTTACTTCAGTATACAAAGGAACAATGTGAATGTGTGCTTAAGTATATTTCATGTGTGAGTTAAAATTGTGAGAAGTTGATTGAAGGTTAAAATTGAAATGGTTATGATATTGGGTTGAATTTAATGAAATTGCATTGGCCACTTCATTACAGAACATGGTGAAATGTTACTTGAAAATGGAGCCTAATTTTTATTAGAGCTGCATGTAAATTTGCACTGGAGAATGGAACAAAGAAACATGCAAGTTATATAATTGGAATTATTTAATTGATTGTGAAGTTTACAGTCATTTGCTATTAGAAACGTAGTAAGAGGGATTCTTTCATTTTTATTTGTTCTTGCTGAAGTTGATTCAAGGAATGCCCGTGTTCTCTTATTGTTGTTTTGCCTGTTTGTATGGGATTCCCGTATGTTCATAAACCGACTCTTTCTCTCGTAATTTGTAGCTTAAAAGAGAAGAGGAGAAGGCTAAGAAAGAAAGGAAGAAAGAAAAGAAAGATAAAAAACGGGAGAAGAAAGAAATAGACAAGGCCCGGAACAGTGGAGAAACCGAAAGTAAGAAGCATGGTCATAAGAAACGGCATAAAGACGAGAGGAGCCAAGAAGGTAAAAAAGGTGGAGACTGCCAAAAGAGAAGACAAAATGAAGTTGAATGTTTTGAGAAGAGTACGCTTACTGAAGAACATGGTCAAGCAGTGGACCCCAGAATTCTTCGGATAGCACCCTTAACAGCAGTAAAAAACAGAAGCTGAGCTCACCCCCTTCTGACAGTGGGCATAATTCTGGTGAGTGTTTGTATCTCTTCCTTACCAGGGAGAGGCTGTTTACTTGTTGGGTTTGTTTGCTTCACATGGGCACTGATATTTTGTATTCAAATTGTATTGATGTGAAGGAAGCATTATCCGGATCCGGTTGCCTTCTCAAAGGCATATCGATCCCGTAGTGCTACCCTGCAATGTGCAAGCTTGTTCTACCTCAGGAAAGATTGATGAGGCCTTTGTTCAAGGGACGCATGAGCATGTTCCTAGATCAGGCAGGGAGCTGGGGAAAAATCCTTGTTCTACTTCCAGTATTAGACTTCCAGAGTTAACTCCCAAGCTTAGCAAAGGAAAACCTTGCTCCTCTTCTGGTGCATCAGAATGTCGTACTTATAATGCCCCGGCATCATTGCCGTCAAACTTGTGTTGCAGTTGCTCGCCTACACTAACTTCACAATTCAAAATTCTCGTGGAGGATTGGGTTGTGCCTACACTGCAGACCGAGTTAACCAGTTTTGGTGAGAACTGGCTGTTTCAGAAAAAGCAAAATCTCAACAGCGGCATTAAAAGCAGCAAAGAGGGAAATGTTGGTGCGTTCAAATGAACTCAACAAGTTGGCCACATGCTTGCATTTTAACCGAGGCTGATATATATGCTTTACCTTTCACGGTACCGTTCTGAACTAAATGTGCTGAGAAGGCGTGCAAAGTGTGAGAAGTAGAAAATGGTGCTGGAAGTGCTTAAAAGTACTGAAAGTGTGAAGGGTTTGTTGCCAGCATTTCAGCTCTTTCTTCTGTTTACGTTAGGAGTAGGACTCAAAAATGAGGATGATAAATTGTGCGGTGACCCTTGCTGGAAAAAAGGCTACTGAGACTTTCTTCTATTTTTCTTTTTAACCCTCGCGTGAGAATGAACAAATAGAATTGATGTATTACAAAATTCAATTCATTCCAGTAATATCGACTATTACCCTTTGTTAATATGATCATGTTTCCCGTATTATGGTTTTCTTGCATTCATTGGGTCATTGCTATTGTAAATACTTCCAAGAAAGTACTTATGTAGTTGATTTTGTATTGTAGGAATGATTGTCCTTTGCTTCATGCTTTACCATATCCAAGTTCAGTTTTTAATGCCCGACGGTTATAATGTGATTGAACCAATGAATGATATGCTTTGAATAAAGCAAAACCGATCATATTTACACAAGGACCCATACATGTTGGAAGAAAGCAAGCACAAAAAACATACCAATACTTTTTAAAACCAATAACAAGACAAATTTAAAGATTGCCCGAGCAGTTTCCTAACTAGAATGTTAATACATAAATTGTATCAAGAACAGAGTTCAGGAAGGAGGCTGGCATCGATCTACTTGGTTTGAACAAGAGTTTCAATAAAGCAATTCTACCAAACCACTAGATGAGTTACTAAGATCCTGAGTGTAAGCTGGGACGCTAATATAATATCCAGGGCTTCTAATATCTTCAAGTGCAAGGAGAGGAGAAAGGAGGAGTGGTGGGACAAGAGATACATTTTCCTTTTCCGCTCACATTATCGAGCAGGCTTTGTTCTTTTTCGTCGGCTTTGGAGGTTGAAGAATGATTTTGATGGCTGAATCAAACACCGACTTCACATTCTGCAGTGAAGTCGAAACAAAGCCCTTCAGCATAAGGCATCTTCCGCCATAATGAAATATATGTAAATTTTATGAAACAACAGATACCTGCTGCGACTTGGCACTGCATTCGATGTAAGCAGGGTGCATCAATCTGCTTTCTCAGGTCCTCTCCCTTGCAGACGAGCAAAGAAGAAAAATGAAGGGCTTAAATTAACTGTTTGTAAATAATAAAAATCCATGCAGTAGGAAAACAAGTTAAAACAGAATGACATTTCAGGAAAAGCATGGACTGATGCTAAAATTAGTTACCTGTGCTGTAGAAATGGCCACAGCTCCAGGATGATCATTAAGGTACCGCTTATCGTCCCGAAGATCTGGATCATTAGGAAAAGAAAGCAATCGTGGATTACTGGCAACAACTCCAGATAAGTCATTTACGGATCACTAAAATTCGCAGCATAAAGACCAAAACTATTCAGAATTGTTGTAAGATTAATAATAGTCCTTCCATTGCATGAATACCTAAATACTCCTCAACCGAGAGCATTGCATGAAAGAAAATTTATAAACATACCAAGCTTGGTTCCAACAAGAACAACAGGCACACCAGGGGCATAATGGTTCAGCTCGGGAATCCACTGGAAAGAAGACAAGAAAATAACTGTAAGTGAACAGTAAATTGAAAGCCAGAGTCCAAACGAAAGAACTCCTCTTCGTTTGAAATTTTATGAAATTGCATGCAAACCTAACCTTTTTAGAAACGTTTTCATAAGTGGCCTTGCTAATGAGGGAAAATGCCAAGAACACATCTGCGCCTCGATAACTCAAAGGTCTTAATCTGTTATAATCCTCCTGTCCTGTTGCCCAGAATTTCAAAATTAAGAATCACCGTGAAAATCTCTATAACCGTTCTTCTAGCAATGAATTTTAAAAGAAATGCAAAAAGGTCAATGAGCAAATTACCTGCAGTATCCCACAAACCCAGATTAACAGTACTCCCGTTGACAACAACATTTGCGCTGAAATTGTCGAAAACAGTTGGCACATAATCCTGTTTTCCACCGCAATGAAAAGCATGAGAAATTCGATCTTCAACGATGGATTTCTCTTTATCAATTCATCAAAATTTGCTAACGACTCAAACCAAAGCGATAGTTTTTTTTTCTTCCCTTAATATCAAGCTCATTTCAACATTAAACATTAAGTATTTAGAAAAAAATGACATTACCGTGGGGAAAGTGTTGCTGGTGTAAGAAATCAACAAACAAGTTTTACCAACTGCACCATCACCAACAGTCACGCACTTTATAAACCTGGTAGCGCTCATTTTCCTTTTTTCTTTTTCCTTCTTTATTTTTGTTCTTCAGTTAAAGATTAGCCCCAGGTCTTAACACCTGAGGAGAAAAAGTTCGAAATTCCTAATGAAACCCTGAAAAGATGATTCCTTCTTCTTCTTCAATCAGCCAGCTGCATTGCATATTTTTCACCGAAATAAGCGCGAAGGAAGAAAGGATGAAGGAAAGCCTATGTGGAATTAGAGAAAAGTTTGTTTTTGGTTTTGATTATTTAGAGCCGTTTGAATCGTTCGTGCCCGCTGGATTCGGGTTTTTTTTGGTTTTTTTTTAGAATAAATATGATTCTCTCCGTCTTATAAAAAATATCTGTTATCGAATTTTTTTAAATAAATTGGTGATTATTTTAAGTATTCTAAATTGTTAAATTTTATAAAATATATATTTAAAAATTACTTGATTAAATGTTTTAAAAATATATTTTTATATATTTTTAATAATAATAATTTTAAATAATAACTATTTAAAGTTTAAAAAAATTATAAAAAAAGACAATAATTGACATATTTTATGAGACAGAGAAAATATTATTTATAATCATCCTAAATGAATAAATAATATTATCGAAGTAAAATACATATTAGACTATTCAATTACTAGTTTGGTTGTAAATAAGATAATTTTAAATTATAATTTAATTCTTTAATTAAAATGTTATTATAAATAAATAATTATTATTAAGTATAAGATGAAATAATAATATGATGTGATATAATAATAATTTTAATTTTTAAAACTTATTATTCCAACTCGTTTGGCTTAATTTGAAACATTTAATAAATTTAATATTATATATATATTTTTTTGTCTTCCAGTTCTAAGACTTTGTCTGATGAATATTATATATTTAAAATCTTTATTTTTTCTCTAAAAAATAACACTATATTACTTTGTTGGTATAATAATAGCTTAATAGTAACACGTTCTTAATTTATAGTATCATGCAATCATCCAACTCCTAGTTTGTTTTGACAGTATTATAAAAAATTAAATTAATGATTTTTTAAATATAAAATATTAAATTTATTAGATTCTTTTAAATTAATAGAACATGACCAAATTAATAGAATATGTGTTTAAAGAACTAAAATTATTATTATATTTCAAAAGACAAAAAAGTTAAAAGAGAGAATTTCAAAGTAAATTCATTACTTTCGAATCCCACATTCCTACTTCAATACCATTCTCAAAGCTCTTATCACTACCATTGCCCTTTAAAACGAACTATGAGGCCATTTCCCTGTAGAAGATGAACATCTATACACAAAAAGCAGGCTATTGATTCATGGAAGCATCATTTTCGCCTGGTATGCTTTGTGTTTATTTATTTATTTTCAATTAGGGAGAATTCTCTTCACCACATGCTCTTGTTCGATACTCTTGGCTTGGTTGTATACGGATTCGAATGCTTGCATGCATACACTTGAAAACCCTACCATTGCCTGAAACACGAGGAAATCCCATCTGAAGGTTGTTCAAAGTCATCGCCCTGGTGACACCGACTTCTCATGCTTATTCTTTTCCTCTTCGGCCTTTGCTCTCAACAAGTCCACCTTTGTTCTCTTTTCTGCAACGGGGTCCTTGTTCGATTCGAGCACGGAATAAGGGCTGAACTTGCTTTCCAGGGACCGAAGCTCCGCAGCTTTCTTCTCGAAATCTTTGAATGCGGAATCTGTTTTCTTCTTTTGCTTATGCTTCTCTGCTTGCTGAACCACAATGGCATTGATTACAGTCAAGAAGCTCTTGATTCCATCGGATGCTACCTTATCCGGAATTCTGTAGACCGCAAGATGCCACTTTTACAAAGGAGTAAATTTTTGAGTCCTGGCTGTTTCTTAAAACAGGGTTTTTGCTGAACTGGAAAAGGCTAAGCCGCAGCCAGCCAGCAAGGGACTGAATGTAGTCTCGTTGTGCTTTGACTATGTAACAGAAAGACAAATGCCATTGCTGGACTTGCATCTCGAGCAGGAGAGTCGATTGCCTGTGAATCTCGGATGGCTCAGTCGAAGGGATGAAGTTAAGGCACTTGAGCTGCTGAACTATGTGCGTGTGAACTTGGTGGATCTCATACATGCTTCTCCACATGCACATCAATCTGCATAACAACCGAATACAATCACATTACTCCATGTAGTTATCATTGCAGATGAAAACAGCTTAGTCCATGGAAGAAGAGTGATGAAAGAACCAAGACTAACCCTTTTACAAGCTCGAGAAGCTGAGGATAAAGCTCTGATTCTCTGAGTCTGATGATTTCAGCAGAAGAGTTTCAATTGCTTGTGAAGCAACCATCATTTGGGACTCTAATTTTTCAACTTCTTTCTTCGCTTTCCAAGTCTTCATATAGTCAGCTCTCTTCACTTCAAGCTTCCTCAGATGAGCTACTCTCTTCTCGTGCTCTATCTTTATAGCCTCAGCATTCTAAAAACAAAATGAATGGCCAATAAAAGGCGATTTTAATGAAGAAGATGGTGTAATTAAAACTTGCATGCAGTTAACTGATGAAAATACCTTGACTTCCTGATATCATTTCTTCTCCCAAGCGTATAATCTGTCTATGGTGGAACAATGGCTGCTGCTAAGAACACTTCCACTTGTATTTCCCACATTTTGGTCCTCTCCTAATTTTTCAATTCCTTCAGTTCTTTGATTACAATTCCATGTCCATGAGGTTGGTGTCAGATTGCAGCTATAGTTATAAACTTTGCCTGCTGCAAAGGAATAAAAATGGTGAAATTTTGAAAGAAAATGAGATGGAAAATGAGGCGACGAAAGAGATCTATTGTACCTCCTTTGCTTTGAGCTGAAAAATTGGAATTTGAAACTTCTAAAAGCAGCGAGAGATGGCTGCCGGCACCGGCTGCTTTAAGAAAATACCCATCAACCTCTTTCACCATCTCAACCAGTTCTTTAGTGTTCCTCGAAACGACCATTGCAAGCTCACTCCCCGTATCTTTCGAGAACGTCC